AATTTATGGGAATTTTTGACCATTCTTCCAGAACTGCATTGCTGAGGTCACCCACTGGTGTTAGATGAAAGGTCCCGGCTCACAGTCTCTGCTCTAATTTAACTCAAAAGTGTTCTGTTGGGTTGAGGTGAAGCCTCTGTGCAGGCCAGTCAAGTTCTTCCACACCAGACTCACTCATCCATGTCTTTAGGGACCTTAATTCATTTGTGCACTGGTGTGCAGTCATGTTGGAGCAAAAAGGGGCCATCACCAAACCCTTCCTACAAATTTAGTAGCATGAAATTGTGCTTTTCTCTGTAAATGATGAAGGTTGCACAGACAGAAATGTTGTAACTGAATAAAAACAGTGGTAAGCAGCAGTTATGTTATTATATTATGTTTTTCTACATTTTCTTTCTCTAAGCACTTGTCATTTGATTCAGGTGTGCAGAGGTTTTCCTAAAATTAGCATGAAATTGTGCAAAATGTCTTCTATGAGTTCTAAGAGTTCCTTTCACTGTAACTAAAGGTCTATGCCAAACTCCCAAAAAACAACAACAAAAAAACTCCACACCATAACCCCTGACCACCACCCAACTTTACACTTGGCACAATGTAGTCAGACTATTCTTGTATTTTTCTTGTACTACTAAGAGTACATCTTGGAGGGGTGAGTGGAGAACAGCTTGTTTATTCTCATTTATCAATGCACATCACCATTTTTCTGATCCTGCACTCTCAGTATAACCAGGGCCATGCAACTCCTGCCCCTAAAAGTTGATTCTGTTCATCTGGACTTAGCGTTTTCAGTGGGAGAAATGTTTCATCACTCATCTAAATGACTTTTTCATTCTCAGCTGACTGCAGGTTTCCCCAATATTAGAAACAGTAAATTTGCACAATGACTGAAACTAGCACTACTGAAGGAACAATGGGCTGGGAGGTTAGTTCCTTGATCATTAATATGCAAATTGTCATGACCATTGATCAACAACCACCGATCAATGGCCATGAGTACCATTCACAGAGAGTTGGGGAATGGCTGCAATCACAGCATTGTAAGATGGCGAAAGATGTACCCTTAGGCCCCCTCCACGATTCAGAGATGGCCTCCTTGACTCCCTGCTCAAACCAGGTGATGAGCATGAATCAAGACGTCTTTGCATCCTGCTTACCACCTATTTGACCTGCTGTCCTCCGGCCAGCACCTCAGGTCAATCACGTCCCATACCTCCAGACTTACAACCGGCTTCCTCCTCTGGGCCATTTGGACCAGTAGTTGTTAGTATCAGGTGTCCATTTCCTGAATGAGTTTAGTTGGAGGCTGCACACAGGATTTGTAACAAGAACCAAGATGTGGTCCAATCTACCATGTGTTGGTGAGGCAGTAGCTCTATAAGCTTCTTTGACAATGAAGATGAAGATCAAGGGCTTCATTTGATCTCGTAGGACAGTCAAAATGTGTGAATCCAGTCAGATAGGATGAGAGAATTTTATGTCAATATCACCTTTAGAATTATACTTACATATGCATGAATGTATGTATGTATGTGTGTGTATATATACACACACACACACACACACACGTCAGAATCACTGTCCAGGATGAGGCAATGAACATCCACGAGTACATCAGGAAGATAGACACAACTTACCACGTTCTTATGGAAGGACAGGCCCCCTGCACAGTGTGTAACACCAGCAGACAGAGGAAGTGGCTCACATCCACTAATCATGGCAGCATAGGAAGAAACCTTTATGTTTAGAGGTAGGGGTGTACCACAGCAGTTAAGACCCCAGGTGCAGGCTGCTCTAGCAGCAGGGTGCAAGATGGTAGCAGGAAGGGCATACATGGCACGCCATATCCAAGTGACTGACGTAGTATACAGGACCATCTGTGCCTGGAAATCAAAACTTCAAAATGGGTGGTTGAGAATGACAGCTAGGATCCTGTGGGACTTCCAGATACAGACGTACAAACTGGTGATGGCTAACCAACCGGACATAGTAATGGCAGACAGGTAGAGGAAGACGGCCACAGTGATAGATGTAGCTATACCGAATGACGATGATAATCAGGAATAAGGAACACAAGAAGCTGATGAAGTACCAAGGCCTGAGAGCAGAACTTGAGAAGATGTGGAGGGTGAAGTTTACAGCGGTGCCAGTGGTAATCACAGAACTCTTTGTAGTGACCCCCAAGCTAGGCGAGTGGCTCCAGTAGATTGCAGGAACAACATCCAAGATTTCTATCCAGAAGAGTGCAGTCCTAGGAACAGCAACGATGTAGAGCAGTGGTCCCTTTTTTGCGCCACGGACCGGTTTATGTCTGACAATATTTTCACGGACTGACCTTTAAGGTGTCGTGGATAAATACAACAAAATAAAACCAGTACCAGAAAAACCCAAAATTTATTCACAACACACGGGAATAAAACCCAGGGAAAACGAGTTAACGATAAAATAATAATAATAATAATAATAATAACGATAAAAAACAAGCACCCTGAAAACCATAAATATCACACCCGAGCCTCAACTCTTGCGGCCCGGTACCAAAGCCGGGGGTTGGGGACTGCTGCTGTAGAGGATACTGGTAGAGGACCTGACCTTGAAGGACAGATCACCCTGAGGAGTGAGAATTTTTATAAAGACTTCAGTTCATCACACTTCATTAAAAGTTAATCAAACACAAATTAAGCTAATGTTTTGTTCAAAGCTTACTAAATGAAACGATTTTGAGACAAATTGATCACTAAAAATATTAGCATTAACTGCAATACTGAAACCACTGAAGCCAACATGTCACCATGCATACTATTAATACATTAAAGAGATTATTTGTAGTTAATAGTTACATTACTTAGCAAATGAATACTGCAGCCCACCTGGCTGGAAGTAAACAAAGTTGAGAAATATACATGTGTAGCTTATCACACAGCAGGCAGTTACGCACAGCTGAAATACACAGAGCTTCACATAGCCATTTGTCTAACCCTATTAATTTCAGCAGTATAATTAAGTTTTATAGGACACACTGGAAAAAAGAATTTATTTAAGACCAAGTAGGTGCTATACTGAAATACTGACAAAGTAAACAAACAGAGCAAAAGGAGTTACTCTATTTAATGACTTGATATATTGCAGAACATTTTTTCTTGTCACATATGACCTGTGGGAAAAAAAATAGAAATCAGCAAAACTAAAACTGATTTAATTTTCTTTACATAATCGGTGATGCTACATCATGTGTTTTAAGAAGATGGTGGACAGACTGACCTTCACAGGCACCTGTTCAGTCTGAACATAAGGTCAATAATAAGAGCCCAACTTATACTGGCCTATCACATGTTTCTATTAGTGTACATTTTGTTCGATATGAGAAAACATGAAACTGTTTCTTTTACAGGACAGACATGGAGATAATTAAGCTTAATTAACATGAGATAAATTATCACACAGTTAGTTTCAACTCCATTTTGTTCACATCAAAGTTGAGAATTAAGTGAACCACTTATTTTCCCTTTAAAAAAAAAATTATAATAGGCCTTTTTAGTGTATTACAGATTCAAAGTATCAAACAGCAATAGTCTACAAATAAAAGAAAGTTTCCAATATGACCTTTTTGTAGCAGTTCATAAGAATACAATACGCCAGAGAATACCTCCCCATCTACATGAAACATATCCTATTTATTCTCCTGTTTTTCTCTAAACATCTCAAACTCTCAATGTATAATGTAGGTAGTAAAGAAAAACAAACAAAGTAACTAACTGATACTTATTTTATCTGGTGGTTTTAATAATAGTGGTTAGTGCTATAGACAATTAAAAAAATAAAAATAGTTATTTGCATATAACCAGTGGTGACTCTAATCAGGGTCAAAATTCCATAAAGTCACATGGTTCTGAGTTGGTCTTTATTGTCATCACATGTGAAATAGGTGATTTTAATATTAATGGTCAAAAGTTTTGGAACACCCCAATTTTTTCAGTTATTTATTGGAATTCAAGTTGCTTAAGTCTAATGAATAACTTGAAATGGAACAAAGGTAAATGGTGAA